TAAACTAGATGATTCAAGCACGCTTCATTTGGTACCAACACACTTAACTACATACTTATGATTAAAAACAAGTCCATGGAAAGAAATAGATCTAGTTAGTGACCATTTGACCCTTGTGTTGACTTAAGTAATCATCGAGTGGTTTAGTCGAACCATTAGTGATTTTCAATCTTGAATATGGTTGTTGTAGGCCCTCGACTCTACCCTCTTTAACAATCCAGTTGTGTGAGAGGTGAGATGTTTTGTTGCAAGTCCAAGTACCCGTGCGAATGGTGTAGAACTTGCCCTGGATGTGTTTATAGGAAAAATTCTAAGTTTTGCTTGGCTTTAGAAGTGATTGTAGGCTCTCCTTGACTCGCTTGAAAATTTTCCATGTCCCACCAATGTTGTTGTCCCTAGTCAACCCATTTGAGGGTAAGACCTTTCTCATTTTATAACCACGTTACAAGCTTTTACCCATTTTGTAGTGTCCCTCTCTGTGCTTAAAACTTCAAATCATTGTCTTGTTGATAATTCATAAGTGTTATGGGTAATTGTTGATCCTAATTGATGTGTGATTAATGCATTTTAGATTAGCTGGAATAGCTATTAACTTCTGAAGGTGGGAATTACTTTATTTGCTTGAGAACAAGCAAAAGCTTAAGTTTGGGGGAGTTGATAAGTGGGGATTTTGTCCACTTATTAGCACCTTTTAGCTTTCATTTTAGTCCAAAAGTATTTAATTGTATTTTGGAAAACAGAAGAAATATGCTTAATTGCAGGAGTATTGGAAAATGAGCCACAAAGATGAAATCCAACTCAAAAAGGAGTGATATGAACTCAAGGACAAAAATCAGGCACAAAGGCTTAAGGTGCGGACCGCAGATTTCCATCTGCGGCCGCAGAATGTCAAGGGAAGTCTACTAGAGGACTAGTGCAATGTGCTACCGCAGAATCTAACCAAGAGCAGAATTTCAGAGAGTATGCATGTGGAGTTCAAAGGAAGTGCGGACCGCACAAATTTTGTGCGGCCGCACTCAGAATTGTGCGGTCCGTAGAAGGGCCCTGTGCGGCCGCACCAGGACTTGTGCGGACCGTAGAACATCAAAGATGCGGCCGCAAATTTAACTCCTGTAAGACTAAAAAGAAAGTGTGGACCGCATATGGAATTGTGCGGCCGCAGAACCTCCGAGAGGAAATTTTGTCTGAAATTTTTAGCTTTGTAAAAATAGACTAGTTTCACGAAATTAGGTCATTTTTGAATATTGAAACTCATGTAGATGTTTTTCCTTACTGCTTTAGGCAACTTTATCTTACTTTGGTGATTTAACATTGGATTTTTAGCTTTTATTTTTTGAATTACCATCTTTTTTCCTTATTTTCTTCTATACCCATTATGATAGCTACAGTTTTAACTAGGGTTGTGAACCATTCCAAGTGTGTAAACCTAATGGGTGTTTGATATATGGCGTGTTTATGATTGGGTGTTTATTATTTAGCCTTGTTCATTCTTTTAATTATAGAATTAATGGTTGCAAACATTAGTTCATGCCTATTTGACTTGGTCTCTACTTGAGAAAGAAGGACTTAGTCTAGTAAAACTTGGCTAACAAGAATTTGGGATGAAATCAAGAGATTGATAGTCCCAATTAAAGGGTTGAACCTACAGATAGTAAAACCCAACTTGAGCATTTTATCAACTATTTTATTCAATACCCGTTTGGACTTGAGAAAGCCAAATTGGGCAAAGTCACTCTCTTACCGAGTGGTGTTGAGTGGGTACTTGAGTGTTGAAAGCTATAGCACACCCCGACACTACCAGAAAAAGGACTTATGGCAACAGTTATTTTAGCAACGGTTGAACAACCGTTGCCATAGAACAGCTATGGTAACGGTTACAACAGTTACAATAGCATTTAGGTGATATCAGCACACTTAAGCTAGACAACCGTTGCAATTGTAAAACAACCGTTGCCATAGATTAATCTGGCGCAACGATTATATAAACCGTCCCAATAAATTTATCTACTGGAACGCTTTTATTGTAAAAAATTCTATTGGAACGGTTATTTTTTCCCTCCTTATTTTGCTCCCTAAATTTTGTTAAACCCGCCAAAATAACCCCTATTTATTTTATTTTTGAATAATTTTAATAATGAATATTATGTGAAAAGACCGTTTTTGCCCATTCCCTGTTAAAATTGTGATTAATCCAAAGCTATAGCTAATACCCCCAAATTAAGAACCCTCAGAGACAAGTTCATCGATTGCAAACTCCTCTATCTCCAAAAATCTTCCTCTCCATCGTATTCCTCTCTTGCACTCTCTGAACTTGGTTTAATAAGTTTTTACACAGAAGTTTTGTTGGTTTAGTGGGTGTGGCAAAATTTTGGTATCGTGAAGGGGGTGGCGAAATTTTGAGGCATCTGAGCAAATTTCCTCAAAGTAGGTGCTCTCCCCAAATCCCTAAATCCAACAGCAGTGATTTTAGCCATGTAAGTTATTTTGATGCCTTTTTTTAACTCTTCAATCTATCCATGGAGGTTGTCGAATTGCTCTAGGGCTGGTGTATTTATATTTATATCGATTGCTGTAGGATTGCTCTAGGGCTGTGAATCTGAATTTTTTCTTGTTTTTTTGTTTTTTTTTGTTTTTTAAATTTTGTGGTGTCAAACCAGTTATTTTTTGGTGAAATAGTGTTTGCTCTCCTTTAATGATTGGTTTAATGAAGAAATGGTAATATAATGGTATAGGGAAGGAAATCAATCCCTGTACAAAAGCTACAAAAATTTCTCGCAGATTTTCCGATGAGTTCTCAGAGTCATAGCTGATTAGCTTTTTTTGCATTCCTCCTGAAAGCATTATAAACTCGTTATTACTGGTTTATAATGATTCATTCCTAACAGCTTCCTTTTTCTCAGATCTGTTTTTAGAGCTACTAAAAGGTAATTGGGTACTTCAGTTTTTTTTTTGGGGGGGTGGGGGGGGGGGGGTATACTTAGATCCAATACTTGGTTTTTGCTGTATTGATCTCTATTTTTGTATGTACATTTTCAATTTCTTCTGATTTTGAGATATCAACTGGTCATTTAATGTATCTTTGGCAGATCTGACTCCTTTTATATCTTTGTCGGTTAGTTCTGCAATTCTTTGAGATTGGGTTGTTTCTATTTGTAGTTCTGCTGGGTTTCTTGAAATGGGTTCTAGAATTTGGTTTGTCCTTTTTAATATTTGATGAAGATCTGAATGATTTGAATCAATTTTACTGTTAAAGACTGTTGCTTTGCATCTTCATGTGTCTTTATTACTCCATCACTTTACTATTTTTAGTATGAGTTGTTCCTTCGTAATTATTTATATACTCTTTTATTTGTGTCTTGTTTTGGCCATAGGTTTCCCTTTGTTTGGATATAGGTAGTAGTTTGTCATAACAGCAGTTGCATCTTAGATCCCTCAACTTTTCCTTCACATCAAGAATTAAACAAGTACTTTGTCTCCGTCTCATTTTATGTGATGTTGTTTGACTGGACTGAAGCTTAAAAGAGAAGATCGACTTTTGAAATTTGTGGTCTAAAACGAGCTATACATATTTGTGTGGTTATAAATCATGTTAATAAAGTTAAATTGCTTATAAACATGGAAATATATTGTTCTTTTTGGGACGTACCAAAACGAAAGTGCAATATTGTAATAAGATTCATGTGTTAAGACAAGAGAATTGAATTATGAGTTTAAGAAACTGTTTAAGTCTTAATCTAAACAAGCCCGGGAATCAAAATCTTTGTCCGGTTCTGGGATACTTATGGTTAAAATAAAAGAACTCGTGTGTAGACTGAACTATTCGGGTCAAAGGGGGTCCATTTTGCAAAAAAAAAAAAAGGCTCTATTAGGTTGTTAACGTTTCAGTTTTTTCTTTTTAAAGTGTTCTTTTTTGTCACTATTACAGAGAAATTTGTTGTTTTCCCTTTTAGAGAAACCTCAGGGAAAGTCCTAGCTATTGTTGGAATGGTGTCACTGGTGTTGTACCATTGTACGAATTTTTAGTGATTTGTTTTAAAAGCTTTTTAAGTCGAAAAGTTTCAATGAATACAGAGTAAAATGACCAATTGTGAATGGATTGCTTAAGAGGATGACATAGATAGCTCAACTGCCTTTTGGCCTTGGATTCTGATAGCTTCCAATAGTACATAAGTTCCATAAATTGTTGACATGAATATTTCAACATCTTTATCAGCATAAACTTCTTTGAGTATAATTAGTTTGTTTTTGTATCTAAGGCAAAATTATTTCTTGTTCTCTTTGCTCGAATGCTCTCCAAGTAATTCCTCTCTGATGTCAATTTTTGTTTTTTTTGCATGCTCCTCCTTGTTGAACAATAGAACCTTCTTTGGTGGTATAGATATTATTAGCTGAGAGAAAGTTTATTTCTGGTAGCCGAGGAGAAATCATTGCTGGTAATTTAGGGAACACCAGTTGCTGGTAAGTTTTCTTAGTTTAAATTTTTGGTAATTGAATTTGCTGGTAGTGTATTTCGCTTATTTATCTTGTTATGTATGTTACTCTGAATTAGTTTTTATTTCTATCTTGGGGTTAACTAATGATGCCTTGAGTTAAGTTACAACATGTTGCTGAAGTCTAATTTTTTTAGAACTGAATGCATGTGTTGAGTACGACTATAAATTAAAGTACTACAAATGACAGAATAGGCAAGCATTGTTATTTAATATTGTTCTGTAACTTTTTTGTTGCAAGAATGCAAAAAAGTCAACCTATTTTTTAGAGTTACCCAACTAGCTAGATATTTATTATGTCAGCATGCAGAAAACTCATAAAAATATACAAATGCACTATGTTAAAATTGATTATCTATGTTAAAATTAAAGATAAATATCCCACTTCTCTTCAGTTGCTCCTCCTTCTGAGTTTTCACCTTTAAAAGAATTAGTCAATATCTTATTATATGTAGGTTTATTTGGTTAATTTTGTTGATTTAATTTTATCGTATAGGATTTCAATGGATAATGGAGATAAAAGTTGGATGTATCTCCTATGATGGACGGATGAGTATATCCGTGGAGTGAACAATTTTCTTGATAAGGCATTTGAACGAGCTTCCCAGGGAGATGAAATATTATGCACTTGCAAAAAGTGTATTAATCGCTATTGGCACTATAGAAATGTGGTGGAGGATCACTTGGTTGTTAACGGTTTTGTTGATGGTTACACCAAATGGGTTTTCCACGGGGAAGGGTTTTCCTCTAGAAATGCACCTCACCAAAGCAATGATGATGAAGGTTCTAACATGCGTGATGATATTGATGGATTACTTCACGATACCTTTAGGAACGTAGAATGTGAGGCAGAGCAGGAAGAACAGATGAGAGAGACTCTATCTGAAGATGCTAAGAGATTTTTCAGATTATTAGAGGAAGGCAAACAAGAACTATATCCTGGGTGTGAAACCTTCACTAAATTGAGTTTTACTATTCGGTTGTACGTGTTTAAATCCTTGCATGGATTGAGTAATGTGGCCTTTTCAGATATGCTAGAGTTGTTAAAAGAGGCATTTCCCTTTGCTCAGTTGCCAGAATCTTTCAACAAGGCTAGAAACATGATAAAAGATTTGGGTCTTTATTATGAAAAAATACATGCATGCCCTAATGATTGCATGTTATTTTGGAAAGACAATGCAAATGCCGATAATTGCTTTGTTTGTGGGGCTTCTCGATGGAAAGTTGTTGATGCTTCCTTAACTAATACAAGCTCTAAAGTCCCAGTAAAGGTTTTAAGGTACTTTCCCTTAAAGCCTAGGCTTCAGAGTATTCATGTGTCCTGAAACAGCCATTGTAATGAGATGGCATGCTAATGAACGACCCACTGATGGGAATATGAGGCATCCTGCTGATGGAGAAGCTTGGAAGGATTTTGATTCTGTACACCCAGACTTCTCCAGAGATCCACGTAATGTTAGGTTGGGTCTTTCAACTGATGGTTTCAACCCATTTCGAACCATGAGCATTTCTCATAGCACGTGGCATGTCATGTTCATGAACTATAATTTATCACCATGGATTTGCATGAAGCCAGAATATATCATGTTGTCAATGATCATTCCAGGTCTTCATCTATAGGAAATGATATAGATGTGTATCTACAACCATTAATTGAAGAATTGAAGGAACTATGGAAAACTAGGATAGAAACATATGATGCTGAGACAAAGCAAACATTCCAAATGCGTGCAGCCTTATTGTGGACAGTTAGTGATTTTCCAGCTTTACCAATGCTTTCAGGCTGGAGCACAAAGGGTAGATTGGCATGCCCCACTTGTAATTACGACACATGCTCACGATATCTCAAACATAGTCATAAGATGTGCTACTTGGGTCATCGAAGATTTTTGCCTCTTGATCATCCATCGAGAAAAGATAAGAAGTCATTTGATGGTAATGAGGAGCATAGACATACTCCTACTCCTTTGTCGGCTGTGGAAGTGTTTGAAGAGCTCCGTGAAGTCAACAATGTCTTTGGAAAGGGAAAAAAAAAGACCTCGGGATAACAAGGGTCCGTGGAAATATTTTTTTTAATTGCCATATTGGGCGCATAATAAATTAAGGCACAATCTTGATGTGATGCATATCGAGAAAAACATATGTGACAGTTTACTTGGAACTTTATTGGAAATAGAAAAAAAGTCAAAGGATCATGTAAATTCTCGCTATGACTTAGAAGAAATGGGGATACGAAAGGAGTTACAACCAAGAGAAGATGATAATGATAGTGTGAGTTTGGCCCAAGCTTGTTTCTACATGAAACCAGAACAGAAAAATTTGTTTTGCACCGTTATGAAAAATGCCAAGTTACCAAAAGGGGTGTGCTTCGAATATTTCAAATCACGTGCAAGTGAAGGAGATGAAAATATCAGGGTACAAGAGTCATGATGCTCATTTTATAATGCATTACTTGCTCCAGGTTGCTATTAGAAAGGCGTTGCCCAAGAACGTCTCGTTGGCCTTGATTAGGTTGGGCAATTTCTTTAGATCCATATGTAGTAAGGTCAAAAGGCGAAGAGATCTTGAAAAAATGCAGTCTGAAATTGTTGAAATAACTTGTGAGCTTGGAAAGATTTTTCATCCAACATTTTTTGACATAATGCCGCATTTGCTTATTCATTTGGTGAATGAAATTAAGCTTGGGGGTCCGGCTCATCTTCGTTGGATGTATTCTATTGAGAGGAACCTATGTATGTACAAGGCATTTGTTCGTAATCGATCTTGTCCAGAAGCATCAATAGCAGAGGGATTTTTGGCGGAAGAGTGCTTGAATATTTGTTCGAGATACCTACATGATGGCGTGAAGACAAGATTCAGTAGATACACAACAGTGGATGATGAGTGCCCTCAAAATTTGTCACCTATATTCCCTATGATAGGACATCCAATTGGAAGTAAGAAGAAAAATACTTTTCTCATGGATCCACAGTTATGTTATGAAGCCCATCGGTATGCTCTGTTCAATACTAGCGATGAACAAGTGGAAAAGTTTATCGAGTAAGATAAATTATATAAGATTTATTTAATTTATATGTTTCTTTTTCTTTATGATATGATTGATTTTATAAAATTCATGATTGCAGGGAACATAAGAATTTAATTGGTAGTCACAGTAGATCAAATGCATGGGAAAGGGCAAGGAAGCATAGTCAGGAATTCAACAATTGGTTTGCAAAAAAAGTTAAAAATATTGAAGAACCCGATTATTTAAGATGGCTAGCTAAAGGGCCTAATACGATCGCCAAAAGATATACTGCATATTTTATGAATGGATACCGATTTCATACCATAGAACGGGATTCCCGATGCAAGAGTCAAAATAGTGGAGTGACTTTATCGGCAACAACCGATAGCTTTGCTAGCTCTAGGGACCAAAATCCCATCGATGGTGAGGTTATCTATTATGGAGCTATTCAGGATATCATTAAGATTGATTATTGGGGTTGTTTTAGCGTTGTACTATTTAGATGTGATTGGTTTCGTAACGAAATAAATGAATATGGATTAACTCGTGTATACTTTAACAAATTATGTAGTATAGATGACCCTTTTGTGTTGGCATCACAAGTTTATCAAGTTTTTTATGTGGAGGATCCAGTTGAGAAAGATGTTTATTATGCAAGGAATAAAGTTCCTATTGATTTGTATTATTTAGAGGAAGAGAATTGCCCTAATATTGAAGACGCATTTTGGAGAGAGCCTAATGATCACATTGGTCCCTTAAGTGGATTAGTTGATGCTGACGTTAGATGGTCTAGAGACGACGTACCGGTTGATGTCGTTGATAATCCATCTAATGCACAACATTCAAATGATACAATTATAGAAACATCGGAAGAGGAGGATGAGTTTGACGATACTGATTGGGACTGGATGGAATCAGATGATTAAAGAGGGAAATTCTGAAATTCTTTTAAATATATTCTGGTTTGAGTGAGTGATAATTTTTTTTACCAATATTTTATAATTACTCTTGTTTCTAATACTGCTCTTTTTAATATATATTTATTTGTTTTTCCTTTAGCATTTTATTCTGATGCTTCATTTTTGCAGGATTTTTGGTTTTGGATCTTGTGATATTGTTGCACTTGTTGATAGCAACTGGTCGAGGCTTGAATCTACATATAATTGAGGTACTGATAACATTTATAACACTTGTCAATACTTGTCATTTACTTTAAGGTTATGAATTTTAAGCTTTATATTTCTCTGGTTAGTGATTACTGTATTATTCATATTAATCACCTTGTAAAAAGATATGTGTGTATCAATTAAAACAGTTATTTTTTTATATCACAATTCACTATCATACACTTATTCTGGTTAATCAAAAAATGTTATCAAACATTAAGGGGCGGATAGAATAATTTTTTCCATTTTAAGAAAACATATAGTACTTTTTCATGTAACTTTAATTATATAACTCGACTACATTTCTCTATAATATTTATATAATTTTTTAAAAAAATCTCTTCATTAATATAAAGGATCCTATGACTTTTGTGTGTGTTGTTAGAATTTCTTTCTATTTTTACTAGCATATATAAGACCTACACAGGTATTTCCAACTAGAATCAGCTATATAGATGTATATCTTTTGCTAAACCTGCAGGAATTCCAAACTATTCAGTTAAATGAATTACATTATTTCATGAAACGAGAAATAATACACGAGACAAGATGAAAATATAAACAATACTCTCTTGATTAAGTAGAAGTAAGACGTAATATGTGAACAGCAAGTTTAGACCCATAAGAAGAACAAAGGTCAAATGAGATTGGATGGAATTGCGGTGCCTATATGCAGACAATTCAGTTGTTTAAACTTAGTGTTCTAGAAGAATTGCATAATAGGTAAAGATGTGGTACATAAAACTAGAATAGGAATCATTAAATTGAGGACTGTATGCAATAGAATGATACCTAACAAAGCAAAAGGTAACTTCTATAAAACTTAAAACAGTTGTGAAATGGTAACGTTAAAAAAATGAATATTAGGTAGAAATGCAATGTTAAGATCTTACCTGATTTCTGAAAATTTAAAATAGCAGATGTTAAGAGTGGGTATACGGTCATACAAAACTAAATAAGATTAGGAATGATCATATAAGACAGAGGTTGCAAGTAACACAAATAGAAGATAAAATGAGAGAAAGTCATCTGAAATGGTTTGACTATGTTCTATGCAGACCTCCAGATCTGCCAGGCCTAAGCATGACATAATGATGATTGAATGTACTAAAAAGAGACAATTTAAAATCATGTGGAGATACATTTTCTCAAACGATCTACAATATACCAGAATCAAACCTAACTTAGCTAAGAACTAACACCTTCGAAGCAAGGGATACTACCATACCAACAGGTTGAGATTTATGCTTAATTGTTATTGTTGTTACACTTGGACTAGGTTTGGTAGGACAAGTGTGAGATTTAAGGAATCCTAACTTTGAAAAACATTTGAGTTGCCCAAACAGATAAATATTCACGGATATAGGAATAAATTACCCAAAAAGAACAAAATGGATACAAAGGATTAAATAGTCGAGCTCAACTAGTTTTGGATTCAGGTGTGGTACTGTTGTTTATGTTGCCATAATGTTGGTTTTTTCCAAAATGAACCTCAGCTTACTTGAGGAAGATGAGAAAAAACAAGATATTAGAGTTATATGAGCAAGAGGGAATGAACAGAAAGACAGCTTAATAAGTTGGGATGAAAATTCAGTAAGTGGCACACTTGACATGGGAATGCACAGGGTACTGATCTACATTTATAAAGCTTGAATCTAAAGATTGTTCAAAAATATTAGATTGTTCAGCCACAGGGTTTACCATGACTCTTGTACCTACTGTTTGTATCTAAGCAGCATGAAGTTACTCAATTGATTCTATTGTTTGTGTTCAAATACTTCTTAGCTCTCATGTGTATCTAATTTTGAACAGAGGAAAGCGGATCATGAATCAGGAAGGGCGTTCAAGTAAAATAAAAAATTAACAAAATGCATAGCAGCTGGATCGCTTGCATATTTGCGAAACCTAAAGGTTTCGTCATTGAAAACAAACAGAGTTATTAATGATCCAAGGTCACTGCCTCTGCATTCTACTTCTACACCAGCACAAACAGTACATGAGCAAGTGCAACAAATGCCACTGAACACTACACCTTCTGCATCACAAGCAGTGCGTGAACAATTGCAACATTCTACTTCTGCAGGTGGATCGCTGCCTCTGCATTCTACTTCTGCACCAGCACAAACAGTACATGATCAAGTGCAACAAATTCCACTGAACTCTACCTCTCTTGCATCACAACTAGTATGTAAATAATTGCAACAACTACCACTGGATTCCACCCCTCGTACTTCACAAACGGTACAAGAACAAGTTGAGGATTCTTCCAATCATGAAACAAACGAGCAATCCGAGGAACAAGGAAAGAACATATAGATTTCAATCGTCAAATTCAATAACGTAATGACTTTTGGTGATTATTCTTACTTCATATTTATGTAGGTCCTTCTGCCGAAAAACGAAAAAGAGGAAAAACTCAGATGCAAAGTGTTCATGGTAGGAAAGAGCGCAAGCAAATTGTGCTAAATGAGAACAATCAACTCATAGGTCCTACTAATGATGATGTGAATGAGTTGGGTAGCTTCCTTGGTACATTGGCAAGGACTGCAACCTTTTGTCCTCTTAACGTGTTTGATTGGAGGAAACTTGAGACAAAAGAAGATATGTGGAAATATGTCAAGGTTTGAAATTCGCAATATTCAATAGGTGTGTGTGGATATTTCATATTATTTACTCCAACCTAACTACTCTAAATTTGTAGGAAAAATATGACATTCATGAAGGTGCAAAAAAGTGGGTTTTTGATTCAATTTCAAAGGCTTGGAGAAAGTACAAAAACCAGTTATATAAAGACCATTTTGAACCCTATGAGAATGACGAGCTTTGAATGGAGAATAGGCCGGTTGATGTTCCGGATTCTCAATTTAGGGAACTTCTTAGATATTGAAAGTCTGATACCTACAAGGTAAAACTGAATATTGTTCCATGATTTGCTTAAAATGTCTGATTTTTGTTTATTTAGAAATCATGTTCTTAGGCGAGAAATATAGTTGCTCTTCAGCTTAATTTGCTTAATTTGCTCTTCAGCTTTTCTTGTTGATGTCATTTATCTGTTACATTTGCATAGTAGATTTTATAGCCGGAATCTATTATCTTGCTGATCTTGTGAATGTGTGTGAAGTTGAGAAAGAAGGTTGACAACCCATCTGTTGGCACTTCTTCCAGCCTGCTCACAGTTATCAAGTAAGCAGGTTTTAAAACTGCAGCTCAAGTCTATAAGCAGTGGTATTTGCTTCATTTCACTTAAGATTGGCACTTCTTCCATTTTAGTGACCTACTTCTTGCACTGACATCCTTATGCATGGTCAGTACAAAAGTGATATTAGTAAAAGAAATCTTGTTAAGATTTTTCCTTAAAAAGTATTAGGAATAGGGACAGATTGTTTGTTTACTAGGTTGCAAGTTTTATTTATGACTTATGGATAGTTTATCAAAAATTTTGCATAGTTTTAATCTGTTTATGCATGTGTGATGGCATCTCATCGACCGCAAGTCAGTATATTCAACACCCATGCTCGTTTTTCATTCTTGGAAGAGTAAACTACATTCTTGGGAAAAAATCAGATTTGTTTTTTTAAGTGCAATGTAGCCATTTACACTTTGTTGTATTTCACAATCTAAGTCTGAATAAAAGAGCTTTTGTCAATGTTTCTTTTTTGTTGCAGAAAATAAAAGAAACCAACACTGAGAATCGCAAAAAGTTGAGATATCCACACACTGATGGCAAAAAAAGTTTTGCTAGAATATGCGAGGCTTGATATTTTTTTTCTTATTATTCTTTTAAATATGAACTTGCTATGCATAATCTGAACTATTTTATACCACTTTTTATGTAACCAGGAAACAAAGAAAGAAACTTCTGAACCTCTATCAAGTAAGGATATATTTGTGGCTACAAGAAAAAGAAAGCCCGATCGAGTTTACAAGGCCTCGTATGCGGATACTCTTAGTAAAATTGTACGAGTTACTAATTTAAAGTTTGTTGATATCATTTGTCTGTTATTAGTTATTTACTCAATTTTATATACTTTCTAATCAAAAATTGACTCAATTTGGTCTTGTAGGCTGAAATGGATAGAATACAATCAACACAAGAAACTGAAGATGGCAGTCAATCAGTTGTTGCGTTTGCGTCCGTCATGGGACCTGAGCATCCAGGACGCCTAAGATTGTACGGACGTGGGGTTACCAAGACTTCCTTAAAAAGAAAAGTGGGAGATATTGGAACCTCTTCAAGTTCTACCGATGAGATGCTGCAACAAAAAATGGTGGAAATGGAAGAAAGGATGCAACAAAGAATGCTGGAAAAGTTCAATGCACAAAAAGATGCCATGGAACTACAAGTTGCAGTTAACATCATTTCACAACTTAAGCGTCTGAATCCAGACTTACGGGTTGATCCCAGCATGCTAGGTTTCAATGCTTGTTCACCTGGAGATGCTTCCTCTGCACAACAAGCTGTTGTGCAACTAATCAATCGTCTATCTACTGGGAGTAATAATCGAGGTCAGTACGTACTCTTCTTCTCTTCCTTCTCCTCCTCCTTCTTCTTCTTCTCCTTTTGTTGCTTTTCTGCCACTGCTCTCTATGATTTAATATTATCCAATGATTTAATTTTGGTGTGATCTCAATTTGATAAGAGCCTCGGGGGTAATCGACTAATATGGATTTGGATTTCGAGCTTGGCTAGCAGAACGTTGAATCAAACTTGTTCCTTTTGAATTGTAATGGGATGTTCTATTATCATCTTTGTGCCTAAAGTGTGCTAAAATTCTTAATCTGTGTGTCATTAAAATTGACTTTGATTAATTCTTTTGATAACGACAGAGTATTAGTGCGAGATGAAACCCCATAAGTTCTGACTAGATGAAGTAGTATCCCCTTGCTTAGTTTCACATTTATGTAAGAAATATGGTCTAAGATGGTATTATAGCGTGTTTGCTTTCCTGGAGAAGCATGTTCCATCTCGTTTGACTGGTAGATCTGAGTTAAATTGCTTGTAGTTATGTCTGAGCTAAGGACTGCTGCTTTTATTTGTTTTCTTCTTCTGCTGGCCACATGAATTGTTGATTAGCAACGTTGTTTTGAACTCGATGTCTTCTGAATGCTTGGTGTCCATGTTGTGGTGATACTATCTCTATGTCTTATTCCATCCTTTACCATGATTGTAACTGGAATTAACATAGCTAGAAAGTTTTAAATGGATAACATCTTAGAATATCAGAAGGTCCAGTGTATTAGGTGATAAAATGACTAGTTGACAACTCGACACATGGCAGAATTCTTTCGCTGGCTTGATGATTGGTTGGTTACACACAACTGTCGGTTTGTAATCGTATTTGAGCTAACTTTGTTTCCAGCGGCTAATGTGTTTATCCTGTTTATGCTTCTGCATCTAAAATGAATGCTTGTTTGGTTCTGTTTTACTAAATTGTTAAGCTTGAATCGATTCACGCTTGAGCTAGAAGACTAAATTGTTCGTAGGAAGTTGGCAGATCACTTTTTAACAGTGTTTCTTGTGAGTTTTGCATGTTTTTGGTTGCGTCTTAGTTGATGTACTTTCACTTAAAATCCAGATTGTTTTTTTCCAAATGTCCATGATATTACTTCAATAAGTTTAAGATGCTGGAGTGTGGTGAATTCTATGTGAATATGCTTAGACATGAAGTGTAGGTTCGAAAGTTTTCAGTTCATATTGGTGTGTCTGCTGGTGTGTTAATTTTGAGGGACTAAAGTCAATGCACTTTGACTTGGCACAGTTATTATGGTCTAATCTTGGGCATTATGAGTTTGATGGGGACAGAAAGTGTAAACGGTTGCTCACTTGCTGTTAATACCTCAAATAAATGATAAAATTGATGTAGTTACTTCTAATATATATAGTAAAAGTTGTTGAGCTTATTTGAAAACCACTTTAAAAGTCTTTTGGTCACATTTGAAAGAATCTGCATTCTAGTGAATTATTGCTCAATAAAAGTGGAATACTAATTCTCCTTTACCATTCAAAGCATTGGTATTTTACTGATGTGCTATGCTATAACAATGACAGAGTTGTGTTAGTGTTATTTGATTCTTTAAAAGTCAAGAGACAAGATAGTTCTCCGACTAGGAGAGCATTTCTCTGAATCCAAGTTCGAGGGACACTAGCATGTTGGCACGTATCCTTTGTGTTTGTACCTGCCCTAGTAGAACCTGATGCAAACTGCTGCTCGACGTGGTTCTCATTGAATGAAGCTTTTACTTTGTTCTAATCTATTTTATTCGAGTTCCTGTTAATGAACTAATTCGTGTACAAACATATTGGGATGGACTTCCCAAAAGTCAGCATTGGCCTTGGCAGTAGGATTTTTCATTTACCCCCTATCTCCTAATTTTTCGTCGTTTGCTCTTTCCCTTATATTTGGCATTGGCTTATAAAAGCCAAGACTAGAATGGTTAAAAGTTATACAATTAGAAGAATGAAAGGGAAGATGCAACCAACCCATTCTCTACTTACAAAGTTACAATTAGAGAAAATTCTACTATACCCATTCTTATTTAATGACTTTATTAATTCTCTTTTGTAGTTGGAGCAACTGAAGAAAGGGAAGATGGAGAAGGTGGAGCAACCGAAGAAAGGGAAGATGTAGATAGTGAAGATCTAGACCTTACTTAAGAAGAACTTTGAGTTGTTGTCGATATTCTTGGAGTCTTTTGTTATAGCATTTGAAACTTTAACTGTTGAAGTGTTGAACTGTAAAACTTATGTAATTGGGTTAAAACATTTTGCTATTATCGTTATTCTTAGCTTATTGGATATGAGGGTTGTAAACTTTAAAGCTTGTTTGTTGGTCGCACTACTGGAAAATTGGCCTATGGCAACAGCAGGTAAACCGTTGCAATTGATAGGCCAACCGTTTCCATAGATGTATTGGAACGGTTCAGTGACCGTGACATCCGCTCGCGTGCCAATAGATCTACAACAACGGTTTTGGCAACGGTTGACAGCACCGTTGCTATAGATCCAGCTATCGCAACGGTTTTTCCTCTGGCTGAAGCAATGAGTATTCATTTCAATTGCAACATTAAAAACCGTTACCGTATAGTTTATGCAACGGTTGTAAACTGTTACCATATTATTTAGTACAATGGTTGGAAACTGTTACAGTATAGTTTATTGCAACGGTTATGTACGCTATTGCAATGGTTATGTATGCTATTGCAACGTTTGTTTACAGCTATTGTAACGGTTTTATTGCGCTACCGTAACAGTTTTGTTTCTATTGCATCAATCTGTCACACTTTATGGAACGGTTTGCAAGATCTATCGGAACGGTTCGGAATGTCTATGGCAACGTCATTTGTGCTTATTGCAACGGTTCTATTAGGCTATTTTAAACGTTTAGTTGACATTACCACCTGGAAATATTTGTAATTATAACCTGGAAATTATATAAATAAAAAGATAACACACTTCATAATCTTTCCGTTAGGCAAACACCAAGGTGAAGGTCATAGCCCTAGGCCTTTTACATTATTTGAAAACAACAACAAAAACATAATTTCTTAGTTTCAATTATTTATCTTGCAATCTTAGTTTAAATTAGACCTACAAACAACCATATTTGTGGAAGTGCGATCTAGATACTTGACGTGCTTAGTCCAAATATATACTACTTTATCTCATTCATATAGCTCCTTGTAGAATTCGACCCCGACTCCCAGTTGGGTATTGCTATCGCATCGACCATTTCATTACCTCGAATAGAGGTGTGACTAGGACGAGATCAATGAACCTCTCTAATTGTATCTCAAAATTACTCTAAATGGCTAAAAGTAACGAACTACCAACTACTACAATGAAAAGATGCCTTAACAAAGTCATAAAATCTTATTTATAGGGCTCTCTAAATCTCAAAAAACAATATGCCCTTCGAAGGGTTCTACAACTGCACTTCAACTTATGCAATCTACCATTCATATGGGCGATAACGCTATGGAGGATTTCTGCAGTTGCATTTCAGCTTTTGTGGCCGCACTTGAATTTCTGCATATCGCATTTGAGGAGGCTTCAGACTTGTTCGATTGCACATTCTCTGATATTTCAAGCTTGTTAGTGCGAACCTCTTTTGCGGACCAAGTGGGACCGCACATTTTAGTTTGCGGACCGCACTTTTGCCAAAAATCCCTCAAGCTTCAGTTCTTCTTCTGCGGCCGCATTTTATCTTCTATGGACCACACTTGCTTTTGTGGCCGCCCATAGAATTATGCGGACCACACTTCTCTTAGCACTTCTCTTCTTTGATGAACTTGGCTAGAACATCTCCTTTTTGAGTCATATTTCTTAATTGAGCTTATATTTTCCAACACACTTGCAATTCAACCATCTTCATTATATTCGGAGACAAAAGTCATCACTTTCGAACTAAAAACTATAGCAAGAAGGTATTAATAAGTTGTTAAATCCACATTTATCATTGGTCTGCCCCGAACATACTCGTGTCACCACTTCTTGGCAGAGTCATGCATCTGAAACATTGCGAAGTCAACTCCGTTGGACTCCACTACCCCCATGTTGTGCAATACTTCATGGCGACTGTGCAATAAATCCTGGGGTCCTCAGAAGATATACCACCAAAACAACTTGGTGAACTTTTCCAAACTCGTCAGCCCCTCGGACAACATTGTGGTTCCCCCGGTCTGTATAGCAATAACAGGCTGAACTGCTTCAACTTGTTGAACTACCGATAATACCCGTGAGTCATCAACTCTGGAGTGTGAGTAGTGGGAGTCTGGGCTCCTCCCCCAGTCTAAGAGACGGCTAGTGCCCTAGGGAACACACCGACCTAGGCCACACCCTCCATAGGGCGAACCAGGCGGACTAGGATAACTTGAAGCATGAGGGTAGCAATGAACCCCTCTAGGGCCTGAACTGATCTTACTGGCACGGCCGGAGTAGGAATATTCTCCCTGTACTCGATCTGAGGCTCTACAATAGGTGTTGTTGCATGTGTTCTAGGCTTAGCTCTGCCTTTGCCTCTGGCTCTACCTCGGCCCCAGTCTCTACCCCTAGTAGTGGCTGCAACCTAGGGCTCTGATCGGCTATGGATGTCGTATGTGTCCTCACCATCTGCGAAGATTAAGAGAAGAATGATACGAACTCAACTATAGAATAATGTCACACGATAGTGAAAGGAAGAAAGAGAAATGTCCTAAAGCCTTATAGCCTCTAGAAGATAAGTAGACATCTCCCTACCGATCCTCATGACTCTACTAAGCTTGCTTATGACTCGTGAGACCTAGGAAACCTAGAGCTCTGATACCAACTTGTTACAATTCAAAATTCCAACCACGGGGCCATGATGGCTCCTAACGTCCACTTGCTAGGAAAGCCAAAGTTAGTTAATGAATTTACTAATTTCATAGTTTTGAAAGAAGAACAATAATAATTAAAGACTCAAATACTCTGAATACATATAATAAATACATAAGTAACACTATTTATACTAATCCCAGATATCTGGAGTCACAATTACATGATCAACTAGAATACTACTAATATAGTCTTAAATGAAATACAATTGTTCGAAATAAGATAAACAATCAAACAAGATAAGCAATGGGACTTCAGGGACTACGAATGCCGAGCAGCTCTACCTCAAGTCTCCTGAATATATTTGATTTGAGAAATCTCCTCTATGTGCTGTTAGGACAAACTCAGGGATATGCATAAGAAGTTCAGAAGTGTAGTATTAGTACAACTAATCCCATGTACTCCGTAAGTGTCAAGACTAACATCGACGAAATAGTGACGAGACTATGACAAGACACTCACTATAAACCTATACGGATAGTAAATAGAAGACAACCAAAATATTAAAAAAATGTACAAACTCATAAGAATGGGAATGGTAAGACAGCTAATAGAGGGACCCAGAATAACGGCATCTCATAACCTCAGATAATAGTACATAAATACAACACCATAGCTACAAACAGTCACAACACATCATACCCCGTTGCGGCGCGCAACTCGATCGCAGAATCATTTCAATATCTGTTGCAGTGTGCATCAGGATCCCAATATCATATCAATATCCGTTACAACATGCAACCTCTTCCCATTATCAATTCATTTTTATTTTATTATGGCGCATAACCCATTCCCAATATCAATTCACTATTATTAACAACTCAACACAACCATTCTGAAATCCCAACACAAAAGGTACTAAAGCGCATAAAACACTAAGGAACTACAAGTACAAGAAGAGAAAAACCAACATCTCATATTCACAAACCTCAACAAATCATAACCAAGAATAGCCAAGAGCTCACACAATCGGTATAACATAATAGGTACAACAAGTAAGGTAAACGCAACAAAGGCAACTAAATGCATAAAACAATGAAGATGTTCAATTAATACAAGTGAGGGAATATAGCAGGTAAGCAAATATTGATCAAGGAATGAATAAATAGAATCAAGTAACAATTAAATGACAGATAACAACTAAGGCATAAAATAACAAGTAATGACATGTAGCAATCAAGCATATAATTAGTTATAACATTGGATAAATGATGATATAGAGGTAAATTGCACACCCTTTATGCTTTAACCCATGACAATGCATATACACTCGTCACCCTGCATATCCATCATCCCCACAAATAATTCACGTAGCCAATAGATCAATCAAGTCCTAATTCCCTCAAGTCAAAGTTACACACAACACTTACCTCTTTCCGGAATCAAATCAATAATCAACCGCGACTTTTCCCTTAAAACAAGCTTCTAAACCAATTGAATCTAGCCAACTATCAATTAAACAATCCAAACTGATCTTTAAAAACTACCCACAAATGAAAAAGGTTCTGTAAAGAAGAAAAATGAAACTTCTTGTATTTTAGTATGTTTTTACATCCAATAAGCTCTAGTATTTATAAAGAAGTTTCTATGGTTAATTTAGGAAAGGAAATCAATTACAGTTATTACGCAAATCAATTAGAATACAATCTCCTAGAATAGGATCAAAATCTCCTAAAATTAAGTTTTCTATAATCAATCTAGTCAACATAATCAAATCTCCTAAAACTAAGTTTCCTACAATCAAGCTAGTAAACACCCCCCCCCCCCTCAAGTTGGTGCAAAGATGCCACACGTACCCATCTTGCAAACCAAAGTGTGGAAGGTTTGTCTGTTGAGACCTTTTGTAAGAACATGAGCTAGTTTTTTTCTCTGATGATACATGAAGTAAAGTCAAGACACCATCTGTGATCTTTTCTTTGATGAAGTGTCGATCAATTTCAATATGTTTTGTTCGGTCATGCTGAACAAGATTATGAACTATGATGATTGCAGCCTTGTTATCACAATACAAGGAAAGTTTTCCCTTTTTAGACAATTTAAATTCCCCTAGTAGCTTTTGCAACAACAAAAGTTCACAAACAACATGGGCCATAAATCTATATTCTGCATCGACACTTGATCTAACAACAATACTTTGCTTCTTTCTTCTCCAAGTAACTAAGTTCCCTCCTATGAGTGTACAATAATCGGATGTAGATCTTCTATCATCTAGAGAACTAGCCCAATCTGCATCTGTATAAGTTTATATATGGAGGTGACCATGTTTGGAGAAAAGGAGACCTTTGCCTGGAGCACAATTTAGATACCTCAAAATGTGGAAGGCATCTTGCATATCAGAATCCCTAGGATCATGCATGAACTGACATACCAGGCTGAGTGAGCAAGCTATATCTGGTCTAGTGTGGGAGAGATAAATGAGTATTTTAACCAACCTTTGATATCTCTC